GAAATATATCTTCTAAAAATTCAAATTTACAGAGAAATTTACTACCAGCATTTAAGGGGGAAAGAACAGTTCCAGAAACAACTGTTTAAGCTAGATTCCAGAAATTTGGAAGACAAAACTGTTATCCACAGAAGTTTGTCTATGACACCTCTTAACAAACAGCCAATATGCATAATATATTTTAAAATGGACAACAGGCATTTAGCATGTATACTGCATTAAAAAAAAAGACGATTAAAATATTTCCATAAAAGAAATTTACATCTTCGAATGGCAATTGCTTGGCTTTGCACAAAACTCATAACACTGGAATTTAAAATCATAATTAATAAAATATTAATTTATATATAAACTAAAAATTTACAGAGATAGTCATATGCATCGTAATAAAAACTTTTAAATTACATTTCAGTATATCACTTTTTGGGAACAACAATATATATATAATATATGTATATATATTAAACTTTTAAGAGAAAAAACTATACTTTATTTAACTTTTATACATAAATGAAAGCAAAATTACATTTCAGTAAATGATACATTTGATATACACCTATATACATTCTAAAAATCTAAATCAATAATTCTAAAAAAAAGTGTGCAATAAATTGTGCAAGAATGCTGAGCAATGGTTAAATAACATAAAATAATTTGTTATATAGCAACAACTTAAATGTGAAAAAATTTTTAATTTGCACATCAGATTTATTGCTTGAAAGAAAGTCTTACATTCTTTTATATAGATAACTTATTTTCTCTTCTGACACTAAGTTGCTTAAATGTAGTGATATCTAATGAAAATTGATTATTCTTAATACTGTTACTGCAGATAAATATCAATAGATGTTAATAAAAATTAAATTTAAATATAAGTGTTAAAATTAATATATGATTAGACTAATTGTTATGCTGTAAAATTCCACAATCTTCCATTTTAGTTAAAAAGATGAATATCATTTTGTTATCCAATTTTTTTCAATGTAATAAGTTCCAGCTTAACATAACCTTAATACAAAGTTTTCCAAAAAATTTCTCGTTTTCACTTTAATATGATTTCCAAGCATTTTAAAAAACAAAATTCTCCTTAAAAAAAATCTCAGTGCTTTTTTTACGTATGTTTACGTTAAGCAACCTTTATTAAAAAGCTAAACTTTACTCTATTGTTCCATATTATCACTAAAAAGTGTTTTAAGGGAAAAAAACTGTTTTTAAAGATCAAAGCACAAATTCAATTTAGCCTACGTGAATATCTAGTGTCAGAAACCAGAAAAAAATTTCCGGAACTGTATTTTTAGAGAGAAAAATTTGCAATTCCAAACAATACGTATGCAAAATGCACATTTTGAAAACAAAATTTTTATTCAAGCTCAGTGGGTCCTACTGAAATGTAATTTAACCAATTATCACCATGAAGCACAATCAAAAGTTATTCAGAAATAAAGCAGAAACACGCTTAGCTTATGTATGTTATAATCTGAGGCACTGCTAAGCTTGTTATATATTGGCAATTCACAGTCCTCAAACTATTACTGCAAAACTGCAGAACAGTAAGAAAATACCTGCATTTTATTAGAGCTGTTCAGTTATACACTGTAGAAAGAAGTGGGAACTTTAAGGATTACTAATTTCCATAATGGCAAATTCTCTTTTTTAAGTCACTAAAACATTTTCTCCCCATAGGGGAGATATTTATGTACACTATGCAAGAATATATTATGATTTAAAAACTGTACATGCTAATTTATTTGAGCAAATTCCAATTTCCTCTCATGCAGTTCGGGATTCTGACATACATAAGATGAAAATATGAGATGGCACTAAAATTTCTTACTTCCTTACTTAAATAATAAACTGGACATTCCTTAAAAATATATATATTAAAAAATTACAAAAAATGAAGAAGGACAATGCATTCACAATTCTACTATTAGATTAAGAACTATACAATTGAAAAGTAAACAATCTTAAAAATAAGATTCATCATATGCTGTATTTAAAATAGAAAGAGAATTTATGTATCATAGCCAAATTTAAATAACAGATATATTATTTTTAAACAAGCATTTAGTATCATTAATTTTCATAAATTTTCCCTTTTTAATGTGCAAGAATGAAGACTACCTTTAATGTATTTACCAAATAATAAACTTAAAATGTATGTAAAATTACATAACAACACAACTATGAATTAAGTTTAAATAAATAAAACAATTAACAACTGATTTTTGGCATGAAATATTTAAGATTTTTAATACTGTTAAAAATCCATACCACCCCAATCACCCCTTTGCCAACTTCTCAAAAACTGCTTTGTAAGTCATACCATTTTCCACATTACATAATTATAGTAATATAAATTTTTATTTAATGCATAATGGATATAATAGCCTTCTCTCGAACTATAAACTGAATACTAGCATTTTATTTTCTTCCCTTAGTCCTTCAAAATGTATAATTGTGTAAAAATAGATGAAAAAGATTAGTTTGTGTGTAGTATGTTTATGACAAATTTCAAAAGTTAAATGTTCTGCAGATGATCATACCTGCATATGAGTTTTAATGAATATTTGAAAGAAAACTGAAAATGAAATTTTGATAAAGCTACTCACAGAAACATTTGCAAATCCATTTTTTATGACCAAATTTAAATATATTTTAATCACTAAAAAAGAGAGAGGGGGAAGTCCTTAAAATTCCCAAACTCATTTATTAAAACATTCTTATTTGTACGAATAAATAACTATCTAGATCTATTCATCTACAGTAGGAGAGTTTTTATTAAAATCTGCTGCTTTGTCAACAAGTAGCATAACATCTTGATTAAATGTATAAGCTGTGCCTGTACAAAATAAATATACAAACCATGTAGCATGGTAACAGTATGTACAATATACAATAGTCTTCCATTATGCCATTTTATTGTCTTTGGCTTCTCTTATTGCAACATAATTAAGTTCTCTCATTACTAATCACACACTCTGAAATCTTTTCTTGCTATAAAAATGATGCAAGACATATCACTTCTCAATTAATAGCATTCAGTTAACTAAAACCAGTGACGTAATAACAAGTACTTTTCAGAACTCACATATAAGAGCAACTGCTTTCATAAGTATATAATCTTTGGTTATGGCAGTAAGATGTCAAGTCATACTATGATGTCTAATCAAATGAAAATGTTCACAAAACTTCACATAAGGCTCAAGACAAATACAGTAATTTTTTCTCCTTGAAGAAATTAAAAAAAAAAATAAATAAATAAAAATAAAAAATAAAAAACTTACAACTGAGAATCAAATTGAAGATTTTGCAAATGACAGCAGAATCTATTTTATACATATCACAAAACACTACTGCTAGAAAGTAAAATAACACTGCCACTTATAATTTACAAATTATAATTTTAAATTATTTGGCTTTTATGGTATTTAGAACTCACATTAAACTGCTTTTTAAGCATTTATACAATAAGGAAACTAAACTAAAATATTTTCAACAAAATGTTACTACAGTGATATGTTTATAGATCAATGCATGAAGTTTATTCAAGAACTTAAAATAATAAATTTAAAAGTTATGAAGCAATAAAAGAATTTTTTCAGTCTACATATTTCCAAGCATACCGAGTAATATCTACTACAGAAAATAATTGAGTAAAGTGATAAATATACTTTTAAAACTTCTGAAAAGAAACAAATATTCTATTTAAGAATAAATAAAATCATTGTAGCAGAATCTGGGATAACTTCATATATATATAACAATGTATATATTTTTATATTACAGCTAATTAAAATAAAATTATAATAAACATAAGTGAAAGCAAATATGCCTATTGTTTTTCGCATTCAAATTATTTTAACATAAATTAATGAAACATACTGCATTTTAATAACAGTTATCACTTTATGCATTATAACGTTTTAACAAAAAATTACCTATTAACAAGTATTACTTTAAGAATTAAACTTCATACATATGCATGCAGAATACATAAATTCATTTTTATTATTTATCAAATGATTCTCTTTTGGTCCCTATTAAATGCCCCAAACTGACAGGCACACTTATTACACACTACATTACATTTAACTGTTCTTATAAATGACACAGTTCATTACATTATATCGGTTGCTGGGCTTCTTATTAATTCTGATAATGTTAAAAAATATATTTACCCTTATTACTAAAAGATGTAATTGTTATTCACTAGTTATAGAACTAGTCTAAGTGATTTTCTAGAAATTCCTAATTACTTTATCATCTTGCTTGATAAAGCTCCATCCTGAGGTACACATAAAGGAAAGAAAATTGAAATTCCTTCAACTACTGGTCCATTAACATCACAAATGCTAGTTTTGGAATTTCAATATAAAATGGAACTGTTAACATTTAGCAGCACTTTTAATTTTTAATACAATATATGTCATTTGAAATTAACAGCCATTCAAGATCTTAAAAAGTACATGTCATGTTAGCACTTGCTTAAAAATAGCTGATGTAAATTGAATTATCAAGAAGTCAAATAATACTTTAATAAAATAAGTCAAACATTCACTTTAAATAACCAAATAAGCTGGATACACTTCTCACTTTACAATTCAGCTTTCTGTAAGCTATGAAAATACAAAAATTAGGGAAAGAAATGCCTTTTTTTTAAATGCAATACTGTTTACATTTTTAAAGACATTATTTTTGAAAAATTTATTTTCATATGTATATTATTAACTAAGTTTTTCACATTAAACACATATTTACTATTCAAAGTTGCACATATTATATGCTTCTTATTTTTGTTATTCATCAATAAAATAACGATTTAAAAATAAACTTTGATTAATAAAATTCAGTTTGCAGAGTGTAAGTTAAGAAATATATTTATGATAACAGAGATAACAGAGGAATTTAAATAATTAAAGTATCTTTTTCAAAATGAATGCTTATCTTTAGTTGACTTCTTAACAAAAATTTTTAAACTGCAGTATTGAAAAATTTCACTTTAAATAAATAATGATAGAAAAACTTACATTTCCTAAATTGCTTAGTAAGAAAAAACATTAAATATAACTATAATAAAATTTTAAACATTTCAATTTTAAATGCATGAAAATAATTTTATTCTTGCTAAATAATTTTTTTAATAGAGTTGTTATTTACGTAGAAATGAAACTTACTGAATTCTCAGATATGCTTTAAATAATGATACATGAAAGCTGCAGCAATTTTAAGATAATCACATTTAAAATAAAATTTAAAAACACAATAAGTAGTTTAGAATGCACATTGTTTCTTTCATATTTTAAAACTTAAGTCAAATATTTAAGTACATATTTAAAAATAAATTTTGCTGCATGAAAATAAATATAAAAGATAAAAAAAAAAAATCTAAATAGTTTTGTGCTAACTTAATTGTTTTGTTACGCATGACAGTAGAGAGAAGTGTGGCAAACATGTAAAATTTACATTTGTACAAATTTTAAATATTGGCTAAAATTTCAAGACTGTCAAACAAAGAAATGTCATGAGACTTTGTTAACATCATGTACGAACAGATGTTAAATGATCCCTATCATCATTACAGAATTCTTTCATATAATAATTGCTAGTGGGAATTGAATCTTCAGGTTTTTGGTCATTGGAAAGTGACCTCATCAGTTCTTCAGCACTGATAGGGGCCATTTTGACATTGGGCGGAGATAATGGCATGAAATCGTAATCATACAAATTTAAATCTACATCTCCAAAAATCTCATCCTCACTACTAGTTGGAGATGATCCTGAAGCAGGACTTGTATTTCCTGACACCGAGCTGACATTTGGGCTTGTTGATGAACTAGTGGAATAAGCACCCACTGTATTCATGCTTGTTGGAATTAAAGTAATTGCTGGCATCAGCGTATGAAGGGACGTTTCTGAACCTGACACTGTATCATCAGAAACTGAACAGTCACTACATCCACTACTACTGTTACTTGAAGCATCATAATTACAACTGATTACTGAAGAGTCTAATGCGGCTTCAGAATAAGGAGAGTTAACAGTGTTAGGGCTACCTGAATTAAAGTTAAGTACTGAGCTCCAGTTAAGACTAGTAAGCCTATCACTGTCATCTGTCCATAAGGCACCCGATTCTACACGTTCATATGGAGTCCGAACAAAAGGGGTCATTCGCCCAGATGAGGGACAATCAATATCCATCAAGCACCTATCATAATCAGATGAATAATTTGTTCCACCATTCACATTTCCAAAAATGCTATCACTTGGACTTTCTGAAGAGTTTATCACAGATGGTGTTGCAGTTCTTGATTCAATATCAATGGCATAAGGATTTGTTGGGTAGCTGACAGACTGGATTCCATCAGTTACACCATTTGTATTTGGTGGAGGGTCCAAAGTGGACACTTGGTGGTTCACTGCAGGTAGGAAATGTCCACCAGTGAATCCACCAACTTTAATGCCATCCCTTTCCAGTTCCTGCTCTAGATTGCGCATAGTGTTGAATATCAAAACGTAACGAAACAGGCTAGAGTCTGGAGTTTGCCTAAACTTACAGAGCTTTTCATATGTGAGATCAAGCATTTCTTGCCTCCTTTGGTTATACATCAGCTGTGGATGATTTGGAGTAGAAGGAGGATCTTCATCCTCTTCATCTTCTGGGTGTTTTCGTTTCAGGCCTCTTGGCTGGGAGTTACAAGACATGGCGCCTACATGAATGCTGGAGATGTGGAAACTCTATAAAAGAAAAAAATATTTTATTTACTCACATGTATATAACTGAAAATAATTCATAAATTTTTTATTTTAGATGCATTTTTATTGTTCCCTATAACATGATTTATTAAGCAATCTGTGATGTATTCCATAAACTATCCGGCTTGCAAAACCTAAATCTTTTCTGTTATCCCTCTATTTAAAAAAAAAAAAAAAAAAAAAAAAAAAAAAAAACAACAACACTTTAAATGCCTTTAAAATTCTTCAATAACACAGAAAGTTATGTGAAGTTACTGTGCTGTTTATACTTTATCAAAAAATATATCAGTCAAAAGTATTATGATGGAAAATGAGAGGAAAAACAAAAAGAGGGAGAAATAATAATAATAATAATAATAAAAGATTTTATTATTTACTGTCGAATTTAGTTTTCAGTAAACTATGAAAATATAAAAATTAGGCAAAGAAATGTTTATATTTTAAATGCTTACATTTTTAAAGACATTATTTTTGAAAAAAAAATATATATATATATATAATTTAAGAACAAACGATAAAAGACCTATGTGGTAAAAAATTTTGCACATTGTGCTGCAAAATTAAAGAAATTTAAAAATAAATTCTAGTAAGCACGCTAAAAAGCTGCTTAAATACTGTGGTTCCGTGAAAACTTTAACATAAGCAAAATTAGTTGCAATGAAATGTGTTAAAAGAGAAAAATACATTTGATTATTTACAAGCTTTTCACATTAAAAATAATTGGAAACTGAACATCAACTATAATATTTAAAAGTAAATAAGTAAAAACTATATTTAAAATAAATTACGGAAAAAAAAAAAAAAAAAAAAATGCAAAAAAGGTCTTGGAAAGAGTTCTTTACACTCTGTCTGGAGCTAGCCCTGAAGACCATACTCAAAGGGTTGACACTTTATATTCTTTGAAATAATATAATTGTGTGAAATGCATGTGTTAAAAATATAATGCAGGAAATCTGAATATCACTGGCTTGCACCACCTTCTTTTCTAGTCTGCATATTACATGATAGTGAAAGTCAATCTTTGCATGAGAAAATAAAAACACTTCAGTTACCTCTTATTGCAATGTATGTTGATACATATTTTTCAAAATTTAGAGTGCTGTTTTAAAAATTTTAGCAGTAATAACCATAAATTTTGTTTTGAAGATGTATGTAAAGTTAATTAATGGACTTCAAAATTACATAAAGTAATTGATTACAACTGATAAGGAATGGTTTGGTTTATTTAATTATGGCAAAGCACACTAGGGCTATGTGCCTAAGGAAAGGGATGCTTTCGTGGAGTACTTTCTAAGGGAAACTGGCTCGTATACACGTTACACATGGGGAAAACCATGAAAACGCCCATGCAGCCAGCCCGTTCGCGGGATTCAAACCTCGGATCGAACTACCAGTGTTCAGCGACTTTACCGCTCGGCTGCTGATGGACCTAATAAGGAATGAGGAAATGGATTTTAGTCTACACATTTTGTAGGTACAAGAAAATTTCGTACTATAGCTTTTCAGAAATGGTTAAAAAATTTTTTATAAATATTATGCTAAAACGTTAAAACAGTTAAAAAGAATTCAATCTGCAACTTCAATTAATTTTTGTATTGAAAACTTAAATTACTTAAAGCACAAACATAAATAAATAAATAAAAGCATGAAAATGTAAAATTAAATAAATTTATAAATAAAAGAATGAAAATATAAACATATGGTTAAAGCAGAAAGTTATGCTTTTAACAATCAAATGCTTAAAATTCCGGTACATATTTTTGTGATTTTAAACGATTACGCGCGAAAACAACTTTTCCTCGGCCTCCACAGACTGAAAACGCTCCCTGGCGGAGAGAAAGGGAAGTACAATCTGGGTCAGGCCACAGCGTAAGTAGATCGTAGCACAGTAAACAGCGGATAAGCACGCTTGCCAAAACCAAGAATTCGAAATTTACACTCGCCGTAGTCCATGTCAAAGAAAAATTTTAACATTTTCATAAAGATTCACCACCAATCTTTAATTGCCAGTATATTCCTTAATTTTTATTTTAAATACCCTTGCAACAAATTACTGAAAAATATACTTATTAATTATATAGTAAGGAAAACTTATGTAAGAAAGAAGGCACGAAGAATCGCATATTTAATTATTTTCTCATATTATTAATAAGAACAAGAGATATCTTTAAGGAGATTTACGATTATGTAAAAATCTATATTTTTCTAATTAAATATAAACATCTGATGAAGGTTATGAATTTCTCACTATTAATTAGATTTTCTAAGAAGTCAATTCATCAAAAATTTAGTACAAGCACCCCACCAAAAAGATCACATTTTTAAATTAACGTTTTAGATTTGAATACACTTCTCGTTTTGCCATTTTTTTAAAATAGCATTTAGAAGAATTGCGAATTACTATTTTTTGCGGAATATTAAAAATAAATTTTTATGCCAATAAATATCATTTATATTAACTTCATTCAGAATTCGAAAATGCAATGAGAATTTAAAAACAGTCTAGATACTTACCTAAATAAATTCAGTATTTCCTTCCACAGAAAAACTAATTTTTTTCGAAAATAAAAACAATAACCCAAATTCATTAGTAATTGCCAATCAATTACTTCAGCTCAAATGGATGTTTTCCAGAAGGAATTACAATAATAAAGTAAAAAGTAAATCCGATTAAAATCGAGAAGTAATTCTGATTAAGATACTGCCACTTGCAATCGTTAAGAAATCTTAATAACGTTAAATTACATAAATATTTTGATAATAATTACTGATTTTCGTTTTCAGCAGTATAAATGCGTTAGCAATAGTTTTGGCACTTGATATCACTCTCTTGAAAACTTTTTGCAACCTATCATAAGTCTATTCGAAGCGGACGCTCTTTCTAATTTCGTTTTTTGCACATATCTGTACTTATTTTACACGCTAAGTTCATGTACACATTTCAAGTACTAATACAGCGTTTCTGCTCCCTTAACCTATCGAATAAGCAGGGAACGTCTATACTGTGGTAATTATACTTAACAGGTCATTGCTACTAACTTCAAAGATAATTTATCAGAATTTTAGAACAAAAGTATTTTAAAATCTATTGTTACAAAGCGTTTGTAATATACGACGAATTCTCATTTTCTTCAACAGCAATGTTCCCTTTGGAAAACGCATAAGGATATTTTTATATAACTTACATTTTCCCGCATTGCAAACAACTTTGTCGTTAGGAACTTTTTTTTTTTTTAATTTTTTCTTTCGTACAACAACTTTTAGTTTGCATAAAAATGGAGCACTGAAAGTAAAATAATATTCTAGGATACAAATTTAACTTCGGCACATTTTTGCCTTACCTTCGGTCTCTACAATCTGACATTTACACTCAACATATTTGAAAATAATTACACGGTTATTCATGAACTGTAAACGTCAAAAAAGATATCCTTTTTACTCATCACAAATTTGTCTTCATTTAGAATGAACAAGAAGGGGGGGGTAGGTATGTTCGTGAAAGTTATCGAAATAAAATTACAGATAATGAATATTTTCCCTATGAATTATCTGAAAAGTTTAAAAAGACGTAATCAGTATCCATCCAATATTTCACGAATCTTCAGATCGTTATTAATGTTTTGTCCTTCATGACAATTTTTTTAAATAGTTTCCTAGTCCATACGTCCCGCATCCCAACAGCGTAGTCTTGGCTTTACGGAATTCAGACTACTTCGAATTTCCCATTTGCTTTTTTTATATCATTTGTCTCCTGCTAATATTAACCTTACATTAATAACCACAGATTTAAAAAAAAAAAAAAAAAAAAAAAAAAAACAGAAATGTTTCAGATTTTAAATTACGTCCAAAGGGGCGTTTTTTTAACGTTTTGAGTGTTACCTTTATTTATTAAATATCATGTTCTTTGCACTTGAACCATAAAATTCAGTTCAAGAGCAATATCGCAAAATAATGTTAAATTAAGCATATCTTTAGAATTTCCGATATACACAGTCTCGCGAGCTGGAGATAAAAGTATTTTTTTTCTATATAACGTTGCCATTTCTCGCTTTTAAAGCATTGAGTTTGTAAATCAAAAATTCGTTAAAGTTTTACAAATATAAAATCTATAATAAACAAATTCCAAATTTGGGATTTCAGATGCCCATATACGCAGTAGGATTTCGTCATTCAAAATTCGATGGCTCTACGTACCATTGTTTTATCACAATGCGAGAAATAGACAATCATTTATGCAGATTTTTCATTATTTAATTTCTTCAAATATAATGCAGGACTCTAACATTTTGTGGCAACAGTTTGAAAAGTGAACCGACGTTCATGAGTCCGACGCAAAATCGCAAAACGAAAACAATAGTCCTTCAGGGACAAAGCCCCTTTGGACTAAAAAATCTCGGCTAGTTTTTGCTCCATATCCAATCAATAGAAACTACAGACGCTTAAATCATTTTGTTTTCATAATGCAATTATGCAGTCAAGACCTAGATTTACAATCACTGTTTCCAATGAACTACAAATCTCAGTAGTTACATATTACCTTAACTTTCTTCACATAACCTCTTTTTCGTCTTCATTAACTATGACTATAAAGACCAGAATCACAAGAGGTATTTTTATATCCATAACTAGAACATACGATTTCCAACTTTTACTTAAAAAAAAAAAAAAAAAAAAAAAAAAAAAAAAAAAAAATTCTATTATGGCTGAGACGGATCCAGCTTTCAGCGACCCTTAGGCACATATCCCGTAAACGACTGGAGAAATGAAACAAAAAATGTATGTTCGATTTCATGGAACTCGACAAATTTTTACAACTTTTTGACAGTAGAAATATTTTTAATAGCCTCCTTTCAGAACTATAGGGAAATGCGTCAACATGCCATTATTCAAGCGATTTAGTTGCGTGAGGCCGTAACGTGAACCGCTAAGATCTCAATCTTCCATCAGCCTTGGAAACAGTGTCTCTGAAGAGTGTTTGTTACCTTTCGGGTCTTGCTTAACAAACGGGATTTAAA